AATTAATATCTAGTAGATCTTCCTTTCGCTTCGTGGAGTTCGTTGATCCTTTGAGGCATCGTGATAATCATCTCGCCAATTTTAGATTGTGGGATTTTCGCCCACTCTTGCTTCAAAACTTGGAGTAGATTGGATTTTTTTGGTTGTTTCTTAATTTGCCGGTCGAGTATGGCCCAAAGGTTTTTGATGGGGTTCATGTCAGGAGATTGGCTCGGCCAGGGCAACTTCTGGATACCATTTTCTTCCTGCCACTTTTGGGTGTTTCTAGCAGTGTGACACGGTGCTCCATCTTCCTGGAACAACGTTGTGTTCTTGCCCACGAAACCCGAGGAATAAAGTGGCAAAAGTCCTTCCCCCCAATATTTCGACGTATTTCGCAAAATTTATGTTGCCAACGCACTCCACTAAGCTCGATCTCCCACCAACCCAAACAGCTCCCCAAACCATCATGCTGAAACCACCATGCTTCACAGTTGGCTGCAATCTGTTGAGCCAAAACTCTTGGTGAGGCATTCTCCAGACCCATATCCTTCCACTGTCCGAAAATTGAGCGAATCTTGATTCGTCTGAGAACAATACGGTCTTCCAAAAGTCCAAAGGCTTGGTCATCATATCACTTGCCCACTTCTTTCGTCTGACATAAATGTGTTTGCTGGGATGTCATTAATTTCAGCAGGTTTAGAGTAGCATTAAGCAGAATAAAGTATCAGACATTTTAAATAAGTAAGTGAACATGAGTGTGCTTTGTTTCTGAAATATCTGAAAGTTTGTATTCATATTTATCTTATATCATTGTATCTTACCTATGTTATTTTTATATCTATTTTCCCTAGGTAAATAAACAATTATTTTATTTAATTGATTGCTCTAGTAGTTTGCTAAATCCATACTTATTCAGCATGAGTGCATTCTTGACTAGTTGGTTATAATGCTTTCCCCCACATGGCTCCCGAAGGTAGAATTATAATGAGGCATTATTCTATAAACTCATGCTATAGATATTTCCAAGCTAGAATATAAATTCAGAACTGCCAATCTTGTGGCTTTACTGATATATAAAAAAAATATCAAATTCACATGACACACCCCTTCTGTATCATTCTGTCTTCCAAAAAATGCCAATAATTTTGTCCAACATTGCTAGTGGATTATTTATAACTAATAAAAAAAGCAGCTTTTTCTTTTCAAGATTCATTATATAGGTTATTTCACTTTGCTACTCATAGGTAGATATTTAGCATAAGTTTCATTGTTTGCAATCATGTTCAGCTTTGAACAACAAACTTTCAATTAGAAAGCCAGTTAAATTATAGCAGTTCTAGGACATTTTATTGTAATACCTGATATATTTTTTGTATTGAGAAAGATAATTTTTAAATAAACATCAATTGTTCTGTGGGCAATGAATATCATCATAAAAATTAGGTTTAGAGTGCTTTGTTTTTGAGGTGTAAAGGCCTGAATCCAGATGTAAGTACTAAATTTCGTTTTTTATGTATATTTCTTATTCATTGTTATAAAAAAAATGATAAATTTATTAGGATAGATAAATGAAATTAATTATTGTGATACTCGATATCCTACATTGAGGCAACCATTCACACATAATGTTTGTTTGTTTGTTTACACAAAGCTGTCCCGTTTTGATAAATTATTTTAGCATACTCTTGAGACACTCTAAATACAACTGTAAAGCAATGAAACTAAATGAAATCAGTTGTTAACAAAATACAATTTTTCCTGAAAAAACTTCTAATTTTCATTTACAAGTTTCTACACGTTATGCAACAAAATATCAAACTGTGAGATGAAAAAAAAAAAGAGTAATTTTTATTCCTAGCATGAAAATCACTTTTCACTCAGATCAACTCAGTAAAGGCTTCAGATCTTCACAGATAAACCTTTGGTACAAATAATTTACGAAAATTTCTGACTCTTTGTGACAAACAAACTTTTAATGTTTACTGAAAGATTGCAAAATTTTGTGAAAATACATAATGTAAATTTAGAATTATAGTAAATATTACTGCAACACCCTTGTACTTCCTCCCTAGATCGAATCACCTATGCTTTCTTAGTTCTACCTGGTTTCATCATTTCATTTAACAAAGACCTGACCTGAGAGAAAAAGAGCAGCCAATTTAGAAAATAATACAGTAGAAGCAACTGTCTATTTGCCTGCACTAGTATGCATCTTGCACATTACTTTTGTTTGTGATAAATAGAGTGTGTTCATTGTTTTATCAAACTTGTCCAATCTATCTGTCACACAAGATTAAATGTCAGTCAAGTTTTAAAACACAGATTACTTCTCAGATTTCCTGTTTAATTCTGCTTTTAAAGAATACCTCATTTTTTAAAACTTTTTGTACCTCATAAGAACTGAAAATTTAATCTTCTCTTTGCTGAGGGTTTTATCAGGGTAAAAAGTTAAATGGCTATATGTTGACTTCAGGTTGTAAGTAATTTTTTGTAGATTACATAAAAACCAAAAACTGAAAAAAATTGCTGAAGACGTGGCAAGTAACTATTCAAAGAATATATCATTCATGATTTTTCAAACATAAAAATCATTGAATGAAAACTTGTACATATTCTACTTGCATGGATTTCAGTCATACTTACTGTCGTCAGAAGATCAGTTAAATTTTCATAGCTTATACTTCCATATCCATCTCCTCCTAAGAAAGTGAAAGCCTCTATAAGATCACCAACTTTCAAAATTGGCTCTTGATCCACAATTCTTGTAAATTCTTCAAAAGAAATAGTGTCTGTAAAGTTTCAAACATAGATTTAATATATATATATATATATACATGTTAATCTAGTACTAATAATATTCAAGTGAAACTCATTGTGTGTCATGAACACATGCAGAAGAATGATTGAATGACATTACAAAAATTCACTATTATTTAAATAATGTATAACTACAAGATGTACTGCAGGCTTTGGAGAATAGAACCAGAGGACTAATTTATCAAGAAAAACGTTTTCAACCAAGTCACTTTAGCACACTTTTTTTATGGCCTACCAAAAAAAAGTGATTAAAGTCACGCTTGAGTTACAAATGTTTTCTTCAATTTCTTTTTAACTAATATTTAATAGATTTTTTCAATCAGAGGTGTGTAAAAACAATATTTCAGATCATTTTCTTGCAACAACTCACTGACTCATTTGTTGGATAACAAGACTTACCAGTTGGGATCAGTGTATGTCACCCCTAAAGCATGCAAAAGCTACTAGCAAGTAATACAAGATAATAAAAAACCCTATAACCCGAGTGCTTTTGAAAGGCAAACCTTTCTTCTTTAGGGGCAAACTGGCAATTCTCAATTTGCCCCTGAAGAAGAAAGGTTCACCTTTCAAAAGTGCTCAGGTTATAGGGTTTTTGTCATCTTGTATCAAGACTTCTTGAATCTACATGTTTTTCTGAAATCATGAAAGCAAGTACTACATGAAACTCAGTATAGTGATGTGAAATGATTAAGTTGGTGACCTATTGTTGCAAAGAGTACATTTAAAATCCCTTAAAACCTGCAGCAGACATAAATATAGATCTGAACTACTATTTTTGTACATTTCTGATTTGAAAACCATCGTGAATTAGTCAAGAGAAATGTAAGGGAAAATCTGCACCTCAAATGTCATTTTAATCACTATTAATAGCTCTGAAAAACATCTTATATTAAGCATGATTAACCATTTTACGCCACTGCAATAAATGTATTGTTTACAAATATTATTTCAGATATTATTTTAGCTGCCATAGGTCCTGTCTAGCTGTTGAGGTATAGTGTCAATCAACAATCATTTTGGACAATGAAGACAACTGATCTCAAACACTATTTACACACCTGTGATTCAAAATCTGTTATGGACAAATGAAAATGAATGTAAGGAAGAAAACGTGCAATCACATGTAATTTTAATAAATCTAAAAAGCCTCATTGCATCACCAGGTTATGTATTTTAACACACTAGAATATCTCTTTCTTTTAATAGTTTCATATTCTGAGAAAAGACATTGTTTTGTGAATATGAGATTTTACTTTTTCTTTTAGAGGAAAGTAAATTTAATGAAATTTTGGGTAACCAAGCATGTGGAAAATAAAGATACACTGCACACATGACAAAAAGAACTGCACATTAAAATCTTTAAACATTATTTCTTTTGTGACTTGAATATTACAGTAATGAAGGATTTTAAGAGGATGTTGAAAAAGTAATGAATGGAGTAACATGATCAATATATTAATGAAATTTTCTAGGATAAAGAAATCTTAGAGGATGTGCAGTTGAAAGCCAAAAAATGAAATGATGAGCAACAAGTTCAGTTTCCATCATAATTATACATGTGAATGATGAAAAATGAGTTTAAAAACATTCATAAATTGACAAAATATTAATACACACATAACCATACTTTATTTATAAAAAATATATTTCCAATAGCACTAGTTTTTAGAGGGAAGGATGGGTGAGAAATGTGAGCATAAATAAGTACCTATTGGAAATATATTTTCAGTATAGGAAAATAATAACTTTCAATACAGTATCTTACCTTCAATCATGTGTATAGCCAGAATCCCACACTGAATACATGAATGGACCGGTATGAGGGATAGAAAGAAATATCCTCTGAAAGCATCTGAAGAACACCCATGAAGTGTGATCACATCATTGGGAGGGAACACACATGGAAGACCGCACAACTTCTGTACCAGGTATACTCTGCAATTCTGGTGAAGAACCATCTACAAACAAGAATGTGGGGAAAGCTAAAATGGATGTTACCCAAGATATAGAGTGACTAAGGTACATTGGACGGTAGATGGCCAGTCAACTCCAGTCCAAATCCAAGTGACATCAAGAATACAATGTCTACCCTATGGTAGGAAAAGGGTCCACACCATCTTCACCCCAAGTTGAGTAGAATGGAAGCATGTACTTTTTTAAACTGATCTACAAAACAGAGTACATGTGCAAAAATCCACAACCACCCATACATCCGAATGATGGTATGAAGGAGTGTACCAATGTGGCAGGTCACATCAAACTAAACTCAATCTGACTGGAACTCCAGTGTGCAACAGCAGCCTCAATTATTGAAAACTCACTGAGGCAGAGCACGAGAGGGAGAACCTTTGCCCCAAACATCCTTATCCTCCAGATAGGACCATACAGAAGCCAGAGTGCATGTGCAGGCAACATCAACCTTTTTCATTACCCAGTCAAGCCATCTCAAAATTTTTATTTTCTTAAAAGTGGGTTCCTCTTTATCCAGATCAAATATAAATAGGTTAATGACTTAATGCAAGTTGGTTGTGAGGGCAGGGCTATACCTAGTGCTGTCTGTTTTCACTTTTTTATAAAATGTGTAGAAACAGCTATGTCAATTATAGAGATAAAGTGCCAAAGTAATCTTGGCAGGCACTTTATCAGTTATAATAGTCTGTGGAAGGTAAAGTCTGAAATGGGCATAGAGAGATATACATACCACTGTATAGTGGTCATGTGCAAAACCATATTGCAACAGTGGTCAATACAGGATCAAGAACAATTGGACTTAACACTTTCCATGACCACAGATTCAATGCAGATTTAGAGAAGTAAATATACCATAAGAGGCAAAACTGGAAACTGAGTGGATTTTGAGATGGAGATGAGATTTATTAAAAGTTGTTAAAGAAATAAATGAGATACCTAACCTGTTAAAATAGGTGAATAGACTGAAGAATGACAATTGGAGATAGAAGTCTAGGTGGAGATGAAACCACCAAATGATTAAGGTGTGTCAGTCATTGTCCACTTCCCTGTTGGAAGAACTTGTTCAAAGGTTGCTGAAACAGTGAAGCATGAGACAAATCTGATAAGAAGTGTCATCTTCTAGTGTAGAATAAATGACCAGGATGAAGTACTTAACATAACAGATGAGGAGGAGTCTCACAGCAAGAATAGGTGATTGCAGGCATCCCAAAAGGAGATATCTATTGCCTAAAGAGGACACAAGAGCTGACCAGGGTCAGAATGAACATTGTGGACAACAAATGACAAAAATAAATGGGAGAAAAGGATCCATCATCCTCCCAAGCCATCCATATGTAGAGAAGGAACGTGTGTTCAGGGAACAATAGAAATAAATGTAGAAAACACAGGTGAGGCATATCAGAACAGCAACGACCTCAAGCTAGAAGGAAAAGGTCTTCAAGGAAAGATGAGAAAAGGAATAACTGGCCAGAAGTTCAAATGGAATCTAGATGAAAGCATAAAGAACCACATGAAGGCCAAAATCAGGCAGATGAGCAAAATGAAGGAAGGACCAGAAGAAGGATGAGGGAAGAAAAGTTGGAACTACAACAAAAAAAGGGGGGAGAAAAGATGGCTGACAAGGATGCTCAATATACTACCATGTTATAGACCAACAATCTCTGGTCGAACAGCCTGGTAAACAAATCCAAATGATGAGCAACAGAAGGAGAGCCCAGAGGCAGAGAGTACTTGATGGACCAATGGCAATAAAAACACCACTTGTGTTGGGAAACATAGGGAGAGAGTGAAAGGATGAATTGACAGTAGAAAAGATGGCCAACACAATAAGAGAAATAGTCTGTTGAGGAAGGAACAGATATTCCCATGGTCAAAGATGAAGAGATGACACTCAGAGGTGAATAAGTAACATAGAAGGTTGTAGCAAGAGAAACTTTGATGATGGGACTAGAAAATGTAACTAAGATGCCAGTCAGTGGAAAAGAGGAAACCAACACAGAGCTGGCAAGTAAGATGCTACCAACAGGACTCGACAAGGAATGTTGCAGAACACTGTTAAGACATGTTGAGGAAGGCAGATGGCAAAGAACACATACAGAAGAGAAGTGACCAATACAAGCTAAAGGTGTCTACAGCCAGAGCAGTCAGTTGTGGAATCAGGAACCATTCATCTGAAACTGGAGAATCATTAGAAGTGGTTCAGAGAAGAAGTATAATGAGGGTATGTCAGTCCCCAGTATTCATGGTGAGAATTGACTGATGGGAACAATAACCCAGAGAAAAACAAGTGACTCTCTCTATGGCATACAAAACCAAGAGCTCTGACACTGTGTCCTCAAGAGGGTGGAGGAAGCACTATGGGGAAAAGGAAAGATAAGTGAAGAGAAAAAGAATGGGCAAATGAGTCACATAGGGAGAATTGAACTATACAAAAATCATGTGATGAGAGAGAGAGAGAAAGAGCCAAAGAAGAGACTCTGGAAAGGAAAAGAACCAATCGGAGATACCCCAGTAAAACTATCTGGAACCCAGTGGAGGGCTTCAGGTAGGAGATAAGAAGAAAACAGTTAGGAAATGGATAAAGCACAGAGAAGGAAAAGAGGAAAGAAGTTAGCCCTGGTAAGGGATAGTGGCAAAAAAGGGTCAACACACCTGCAGGCAGAATGGATTCCAGAGACTGAGGATCCAAGAAGGTAGAAGGGAAGCAACTATAAACCATGTTAAAGGAGTTGTGGAAATCAGGAGGACAAATCGGGGAAGAGTGGGAACGATGTTGGGAACAAGAATATCTCAGCATGGATATTAACATCAGGTGAAGGGGAAAAGAATAAAACTATATCAGGAAATCAAGGAAAAAATATAAAAAAAACATAGCGCATAGAAGAAAGGCAAATCATAGTAATAGCCTGACATAATCAGCAAAGAAACAGAGAATGAGGAAGCCAGAGCAAACCAAGGCAGTGTAAGTAGCTGGACAAAAACTTCAACCTCAAGATGGAGAATGCATACCAAATAGAAGAAATGGGAAGAAAGACAAAATCCATTAAAGGGCAAAACTGGTGTTAGCATCTTCCATAGCCAAAGAACCTCCAGCAGCCAGAAACATAATAGAAGCTGTGAGGAGTTTTGAGATATTACATCATATGGTATGTCAAATTCTGTAAATAGCCATAATAGAGGGCATTAACTAATCTCATTTCAGATGAAATTTGGGCTTTGTAAAAAAGCTAGAACCTTGGGAAGATGAAGCTGCAGAAAGATAGTGTAGAATTGCTCCAAAATTTCATCAGACTTTTTTTTTAATGCAATAAGTGTAATGTACAGGTCCGTGGAATTAGGAGAATTTTAGAAGAAAGACTTGTGGTAAAATAAAAGATCATAGGCCTAGACATTTGAGTACAGAAATTTACAGAAACCAGTTGATGCACAAAACTGTTTGAAATAAAGGCAAGGTTACTAATTTGCACCATTTTGTTTTTCTTCTTTCTCTCAATTCAACCAATCAGTGAACATGTGTAGACTCAGACAGGCCAATGGTTTGTTTTGAGTTTTGCACAAAGCTACATGAAGGCTCTCTGCACTGACCATCCCTAATTTAGAAAAGAATGACTAAAGGGAAGGCAACTAGTCATCACCACTCACTGCCAACTCTTGTGCTATTTTTTTACCAATGAATAGTTGGATTGACCATCACATTATAATGCCCCCACAACTGAAAGGGGTGTTTGGTGGAATGAGAATTCAAATCCACGACTCTCAGACCAGCAAAACTGACATGAGACCTCCTTGCACACTAGAGGCAAACTACATAAGGCCTTCAAAGAAGTTTGTTGAATTTGCAATATCGATAGAAATGTATGCAACAGCAGTTAATTATGACACCAAAATTAACTATAGTGGGAAAGCAGAGCTTAGATAAGTTCTCCTGATGCATGTCAATAAGTTGCATTGAAGGTGGGAGAATTTTGTGTAATTTTAAGAATGTGTCAAGGATGTTCAGAAGTAAGTCAAACTGATTTAAAAACTAAATTAATTTAATTAATGGCTAGATCTATACTTATATTTAAAATGTTATAGTGAAGGATCCTAAATATTTCCAGATCTGGATAGCACTGAATAGATCTCACAAATTTTAGATTTGTCACACTGCTTACCTAATTTAATTATTTCTTAAATTTGATTAGATTTGACATTTTTATAAAGGTAAATGTGATTGGTCTAGAGAACTTTCGCTAGAGAACACATAGAGCAAGAGCTACATAGGGTTTTAATATTGTGCCTGAGGTCAAAATGTTTGAAGGTGCTTACTGACACAAAAATATGTGCAAGTTTCAAAAAGTGATAAATATGGGATCCTCTGTTAAATTTTGCAAATATCTGTACATATGTGACATCAGTTATGTACCACAACTACTATGAGACCCATTATTTGTTGTATATATAGATTCATATTGAACTGATCTATTGCTGCATAGTGATAATTTTTGACAAAATAACAAATTTCTTATATTACTTTAGCTCTCCTTCTTACTACTTAATCACATAACCCACTTATATATAGTTTATTTCAGCCTATTACAAGCACAATGGTATAAATAATGACTAATATAAAGGGAAAATGCTATCAATGCCCTCTAATTTTATTTTCAGCCATTATCATACGTTGGAGTAAGAATGAAATAATAATGGTACAGTTGTTATTTTTTAACAAAACATGTAAAATACTATTTTTTTACTACATTTTCTTTACTTTTAGGTGGACCCAGTATGTCTTTTTCACTTCTAAACAAAGTAAACACCATTTATACAGAAATATATTTTTCCAGGGAGATCACCCTACAATGGCTTCAAACATTACGAGGTATTACGTATCACTGCATATAAAATGTGGAACATGTTGTTTATAAATGTATATTATTATCACAGATAGCTCTGTGCCTAGCAGTGAAAAGTTGCCAAAGATTGAATATTCTTCAATATTTAGAAAATGGAGTGTGTATACAGTGTACAAAACCTAATAAAGTAAAGGTTCTTGTAATATTTTACTGTAAAAGTAGATGCTCAAAATTATTGATATGAACCATATCTAACAAATAACGAGTTTCAGTATTTCGTAGTTATATAAAAAAATGACAAAATGCTGTTAACTAACATTAACTCTTGTAATTATTGTAAAAGTCATATTCTTCAATTGTTAGTTTGGTTTCATTAAAATAAGTCAAATTAGATAATTAAATAATACATTTAAGCTATTATTTGGTTTAATTTTTACAATTTAAAGTAGTCAACAAATGTATTAATTAATAAATTGTCAAGCTTTACCCTCACAGTTAACAAGATAAATAAAAAATTGGGAATTTAAAAGCCTGCAAATAGGGATCATAAAACAATTAAGGATACAAGGCTGGAGATACTGTAGACATTAGTTACTCAAACTACAAACCTCTATTTTGGCTCCATACTGTTACCTAAAATTACATTTGGTGGATTCAAAATAGAAACAGACCAAGTTTATAATTATTATTGTATTTTTGATGGGTCACACATACATATAGCTAAATTTTCAATTAAATTCAATATGATATTGCAATCATTCGGCATAGTCCAAAACAAAATTGGACAGAATGCTGTAAATAAGAAATATCTTTATCACTTTTTGCAATCTGTAAGTATATGTGGCACAAAAAACCTTAAACCTTCTGGTAGCAGAAAAAAAGATTAAAACCTTACTTACCTGGTTCTTATACTAATAATATATTGTAACTCAAATTATTATTTAGACAAGAGTTTAAAGATTACAGAAAAAAAAGAGGAAGTAGGCTGAGAGTTCAATTAAATGACAATAAGAGTTATGTTTTTTAGGTGTTATATGTAAAACAAAGGTTACTCTACTGATACCTCTAAACTAAAATTCAGTTATTATAAATTGCAAACTGATAAATTATGCTGTGAAACCTGGCACATTTCAAAGAAATAGAATATTTACCAGTTTCTGGGAGCCAGTACTTTGCCACTCTTTCTTTTGAAGGGTTTCTTCCCACAAGACAAAGAGCTAAGAATAAAAAAAACACAATCATTCAGTACATTCAAAAACAAAATTACCTGTCCTCAATGATTGGAAAAGTTTAAGTTAATTTGGCAAAAGTATTCGTCCACAGTAGCTGGAAAAGTTTAAATTAATCTATTGATTTAAATGATTTCATGGACTTTAAAAAGGTCAATTGTGTTAAACTCTTGGTTTCACTCAGAGCCAAAGTGGTGAGCTACTTATACCGCCCACCATGAAAAGAAACTGTTGAGTATCTCAGTAATTCTCAATAATAACATATGGTAAATCTACATTGTATTATTTAAGTTATATCACTGTTAAGGAGAATCACAATGATGTGTTATCAGTTAGTTATTTTTCTTTCTCTTATGTATGGTTTATATCTTTCTTTTGATATTTTCCACTTGTTGAACTTCTCTAATGTGATTCATTATCAAACACAGATCATGACTTCTGTTAGTCTTTTTGTTTTTCCCATGCATTTGCTATTAGAATCCATATTCAAAGAGGATTTTGTATATAATTTTTACTTTCAGTATTTTTATGTAATATATTGTGTGCTAATTCAGATCATATTATTTTGTCTTTTTGTAATGTTCTTCCTATTTGTTCTTGTCAACTGTCTTTTTCTTTATCAAGTGTTTATAGTAACTACTGTTAAGGAGAATCACAGTGATGCGTTTTTCTTCATTCTTTTTAGCATCTTTGGTTTTTACAAATCTTATTCATTCTGAAAATTAATCAGTCTGTTATGCCTGTTTATACAATTAGGATGATATGATCTATAGTCAAATTATTAACAAGTACTTACAGGTTTCGTGTAAAATTCTGATGCATACAGGTTTTGTATCTTGTTAATCATCAAAGAAAAGTAATATTAAAATATTACATTAATACCTCTACCTACATTTATTACTTCAATGACCTAAATTTTTATATATTTCTAGACTTCACATTGTTACTAGGAACTTCTGACTGCCACTACATGCAATATGAGATTTTAACCTCTGGCTAGGTTATCTCTATGATAGAATTATCTCTTCACATATCTTGTTAACCTGGTATTGGTTCAGTATTCTCCTAGAAACATATGGCTTGTTTAATCCTTTGCATAAACAGGTGGTATGACTGATCCATGTGCAATGAAGTACCTGTGTTAAGGTGATGTATTTCTTTTATGCAAGTTTGTTTTATGGAAATTTTACATCTCATTATCTATATAAGTACATGTCTTGGTCAGTACAGTATTAGTAGAAGTTGCTTTACAGCTCATTTAAATTGCAGTCCCTTAGTAACATAGATTTACTGGTTTTTCTTGTGCCAATATTAAATTAAATCTGAAATAAAATTAAGGTTTCTGTACTTAAATTTCTGAAATTTCTTATGCCTTGATTTCTAAAAATTCAGAAGTTAAAGCTTAAACTCAAAAGGGAACTCTACTAAAAAAAAAAGGAATCTAATGGCTATATAAATGTTTGTATACTGAAAATGTATTAAAACATTTCAAATGTAGTCATTACTTCTCTTTATTGAAAAAAATGAGTTTTTAACTCAATGAAAGAGGTATCCATATCAGTGCCAGATTTTCACTGTGCTTCAATTAACAAAAGTAGCAATTGCATTTGACTTTTATATTTATTAAGTTTCAAGATGGTCATGTCATACTATAGTAAGGTAATATCACTATTCTTTTGAACCTGAATATGATGAAAGCAAAACTGAATCAAATAAAACCAGTAATAACTAATGAGGATGCAGCCAATAGCATATCTACGATAACTGCCAAGTTACAAAAAGTTTTACAGAATGTTTTTGTTTCCATGAATGCAACAAAGCTATAAATAAAACAGAAATGCCTGTAAAAAGGTAATGCATAAAAAGGCATCACTGAAAGTGAAAGATTTCAGATTATAATAGCAATTAAATTACATTTCTCTCATTTCACAACAATCTATACAAAGAACTATAACCAAAACCTATAAGAGGTAATAATTATGTTAATCTTCTAATACTTGTAGTTATATTAAAGTAACTTTAGAATTTGCCATTTTGAAGTATCCACCGATTTGTAAAAATATGGAAAATTGTCTCTGTTGTCCAAGATCAGACTAACAATTAAGTGTAGACCTACTTCCCATATAATAGTTAGTAAATATTATCTTTGTTTCTTAGAGCTCTATAGTTTGCAGCATAAAAAAATACTCTTACTGAGTGCATGGTAATTTAGGATGGGTAAAAATGAGTCTCCATCTTGTGCCACAACAACAATTATAAGAAACTACTCTGATCCCATCAGAAGAATTTGAGGGAGTCAACTCTGCAAATGATGTTATAAATATTTTATGTACAACTGAATTGCAAAGAATAAAAACATAAAAGATTGATTGAGTATTACTTATAACATTTTTATAAAATAAAAAAACTCATTTGCCAGTTCTTGTACAATTGACTTGTAACAAAACAGTCAGGCAAAAAGTATTCAAGGTACCTTTTTAAACAGACTAATGGTTTTAGTCCATGGTTTTCAAACTGTAAAGGGTTTGACATACACTTATTTAGTGACTGTCTTTCTACTATGAATGCATTTTGCATTAAATATATATTTAAATCTTTTTAAATGCTTAAACATAATTCTATATGATGTCATAAATTTTTCACAAAAACTTGTTAAAGCACTCCCAATCTCAGTTGCATAACAGTATCAGGACATATGGTTGAAAAGGCTTAATTTATAATATTTGAATTATTTGTCATCACCATGAAAATGTCTTGCATTATATTCTTAGTTTCCTATTTTATGAAAGACATGAATAACAACATAAAGTTTTCACACTGACTCACTATACAGAAGCAAACAGAACAGAAATTATTATTTTTTCCATAACATAAAGATGAATAAAGTTTCAAAGTATAGGAACAACAATGGCTCTGTATGGTGTCACATGAGTATTTATAATGTTCCACCCAAATCATAACAATACTTTTTTAATAAATCAGTTCCTGATGCAGTTAGACATAAGATGACTTTTCTGCTGGACAATGACATTTTTAACAACTGGCTTTTTGGTGGATGCAATATTTGCAGGAAGGCTAAAAAGATTTACTTTTTTGGTAATCCATTATTTTATACACATATTCTTTTCTATATGTAAATTATTTCCTTTCTTTAATACGTTTAAGAATCCATTTTTTTATCTTTTGTAAAAACTATTTTTAATCTTTCACTCCCTTTTTGCTGATAATATTTGACATCCTAAGTTAAAGTTGTGATCACGAATAGCTAATTCTGTACAAATAATCATTCCTTCAAGACTAAAATGTTTTGTTTTAAGATATTATTTAATGATGAGAATATAACAGTTCTCCAGTATGTTAACATTATCATATTAATAGAATTCACAATGACATTATTAAAACTATGGATTTCAGAACTATATTTGCTGGAGAACTTCATTTAAGTCATTTCTTCTTTTTCATTTTTCATCAAATGAGAATAATCACACTTATGGAATACTATCATGAAATTCCAACTGTGGTGACTTGTAATGTGATAAATTAAAGAAAACCATTTTACTGTCAGTGCCAAAATTTTCCATTTTCAGACCATGTTCAAGAAGCAAGCTGTGAACTTCTTTACAACCAAACTTCCCCATGGCAAAAGATTATTTACACTGTGATACATGTACCACATAAGAACCACCTACCACCCATGATTTCATATTCATTGCAAAATATGAACAGTATTTGGCAGAAATGTCATGACAATCACCAAAGACTGAGCTTATAGAGTAATCATTATAGCATCATGTGGAACTATATAATCTCTGTGAACTACATGAACAATAAACTGGGTAAATATGTACTTCACTGAGTACAGGCATGTTAAAAACATTAGCCATTTCATATAAACACTGATATATTAAACTGATAAAAAATACTGCAAGACAAAAAAGATTTTTTTAATATCACATTTTTTAGGTAACACCCATGCACCTTTGTGATTTGATAAACAATAATAATGTATTCTTAATACAGAAGTCTCAATTATTTTACTTTGAAAAGACATTTTTCTAACATACTGAGGACAAATGCCGAGATTCACAAGCTGAAGTACAGATTATCAAACAAATTAATTTGTTTCAGTTAGAAATTATAAATGCCAAAGATGTGTTGCTTCATACAATAAGGATTTTTTAATGTATGTGCAATATGTCATACAGAATACATAAAAGTGAAGTATTTTGGATAAGATGATGCATGCACTGCATTAAATAAGGACATTCACAACTTTTGGTCACATAATTGTTAACATCACATGAAAAACTTGACAAGGAAACACTTTCAGTATTTCAGAGTAATAAAAGTGTTTTTAATTGTTACTTTCAAGACTTGATTTATGTATTTACTTTTGTTTGTGTTTGTTTAACTACTAAGTTGATCTATGGAAAAGGGTTATCTTAAGCAAATTGAGTTATGTAAAAGATTTTTGTTTTACGATATTATGGGTGCCTTTCCAGTATTCATTTGATTTAAGATATCTAATTTTATTTTAATGTCATATACAGTACATTTTATTTATGATTTCATATTGTGATTGATTTAAAAAGGGTTATTCGTGTATGACAGTTTTGAACATAAGTGAAAGTATTTATGTTGTGTTTGATACAACTTCTAATCTGTGTATAAGTGTAATGGTATTAGAACAGTTTCAGGTTTGGAATCTTTCAATCACGGTAGATGCACCTAAAAAATTTAATTACGTAATTAACTTTACCTTTAAAGTCACTTGAGTTGAACTGAAGAATAAGATAAAGAATATTGTATAACACAGAGAGAGTGTGCAATGGTTCCAACTGTTTCTCTATTTTCTCATATGTTATGCCTAAATCCACTTTTACTTGTAAATTAGTTTCATCAAATGCCACTTCTAGATTGTCATAAAACAGATATGGTGTTCTGTGTTTCCAATTTACAATCAAGTTTGTATTTCATCCCCACAAGTC